ACAGAGTCTTGTTCTGTCACCCAGGCTGGAGTGCAGTGGTGTGATCATAGCTCACTGCAGCCTTGAACTCTTGGGCTTGAGTGATCCTCCCGCCTCAGCCTCCCCAATAGCTTGGATTACAGGCATGAGTCATTTGTTTGAAATGTACAATTTAATGCTTTTAAGTAAATTTACAGAGTTGTGCAGCCATCACCACAATCCAATTTTAAAGCATTTCCATCAACCCCGGCAGACCTCTCATGCCCGATTGCAGTCAATCCCTCTTTCCAGCCCAGCCACAGGCAACCACTTACCTACTTTCTGTATCTATAGATTTGCTTTTTCTGCACATTTCTCATAAATGGAATTATACAATATGTAATCTTTTGTATCTGGCTTCTCTCAGCTTAGCATAATGTTTTTGAGGTTCACCCATGTCGTAGCTCCTGTTAGTACTTAGTTCTTTTTTATTGCTAAATGGCATTCCATTGTGCAGGTAGACCACTTTTGTTTATCCATCACAGTAACCAACTGTTAACAGTGGCTCCTTGTAGAGAAGGGAATGGGGAACAAAGGGATGGGATGGGAAAGAGATTTCTTCATTGTTCACCAATTTATATGGTTTTAATTTTTAAAATTCAAGATCATGCCTTATTTATTAAAGCAAGGTAAGGAATGTATTCCCCTGGAATGTATATAAAATCAGCCCTCTGCTGACCCAAAATACCATCCTTCCTTTAGGTAATTGCCATTAATTAATTTTTGGTGTCCTTTTAGACTATACGTACAGACATACACATTATACACATGTGTATAATGTACATTTATATGTGTACATATAAATATATTTATGCACACATATATATATCGAAATAGTCATGTATTTTATATGTCAACAAAAAATGGAATTACAAGGCTTAATATTTTAACCCAAGGTTACCAAAGGTAAGAAAAACAACCTGTCTATCATGCTGGCTGTGACGTATCTGGAAACTATGCATGGATTAATGGGTTAATCAATATACAACGGAGAAAAGATCTGCAGACTCAGTTTATTAGTTATTATGTGCAAATGTGTTTTCATGTTTTTAAGCCCCTGTGCCTTTTCTCACAGGATACTTCGGATCTGCTTGTGAGGAAAAGGTGGACCCATGTGCGTCGTCGCCGTGCCAGAACAATGGCACCTGCTACGCGGACGGGGTGCACTTCACCTGCAGCTGCAGCCCGGGCTTCACGGGACCAGCCTGCGCCCAGCTCGTCGACTTCTGCGCCCTCAGCCCGTGCGCTCACGGCACGTGTCGCAGTGTGGGCACCAGCTACAAATGCCTCTGTGATCCAGGTTGGTACCACCCATAGACTGCAAATCTCTTTTTCCCCCAATCCCAAAAGACCGTTAGTGTTTCTTTTGCCTCTGAGCAAATGTCAGCCCACAGAATGTGTAAATAGAAGCGAATTCTACTCACTTATGACAAGCTTTCTCTTCTAGACTCATTCTTGGCAGGGTTTTAAAAATACTCTTTTTCCTTTTCAGGAGCAATTCACATTCATTGTAGAAAAATTAGAAAATATGAGTAAAATGGAAAAAATTAAAGACAAGCTTACACTTAGACTAAATATTTTTTAACAATTTACTATGTCATTGCACAGCTTTTACCGTATTCCATATCTTTTGCTACTGCATGTTTAAGTTAATGGAATATATTTTTCCAGTTTAATGTGCATGAAAAGCACAATGCAATCCATTCAGAATTGTGTCATCTATTAACATTCTTACTTGGTGCACACTGTTATACCTCTGGCTCCCTGTGTAAACATTCAAACATTTTATCATTTATTTTCCAAATGCCTTCTGCGTTTGTATTACTGATTTTTAATTATGGAAGTTTTGGTACCGGAAGTCAGAGTGATTACTAGTCAAAATTTGTGTCTGCACAACCTCCTAGAGCAGCCTGAACAGGATTCACAGGGCAGCCTTTCTTTCCTCTCGTTTGTATTCTGCACGTGTCTCCCTCCTTGCACGAGCTGGCTCTTTAGAATGCTTTCCAGCACAGTGCGTCCCCACACAGGTCCCTGGCCAGTCAGCGTGCTGGCCAGCACCTGGCTTCGCTTGACCCTGGCTTCACTTGTGTGGTGACCTAGTGCCCTCTACCTGGACTTCCTGCTCCCCGTCACCCCCTCTCACCTGGCAGACTTCTCCTTCCGGGGCTGACTCAGCCTCCCTTCCTCCAAGTTCCAACAATCACCCATATTAGCACTTTCTTGGTCTTTAAAAACATTATATTAATTATCCTGTATGTGTCTCTCTCCCCGCTAGGGCTGGGAGGAAGTGTGTTTTATCAATAGCTTTTGTATGACCAACAATCACACTGAGCTACCACCTAGTGAGCACTAATCTTTCTGGGGTCTGAGCTGGGCGCTTCCCGTCTGTGGTCCTTTCACTGCTGCATTTAAACCAAGGTTGGAAAGTCCTCTAGAGGTTCAGTCACATGCCTGTGTCCACGCACCCAGGAGGGGGCTGAGGCCAGATTCCAGTGCAGGTGTCCCTGGCCCCACAGCCCCGGTCATGGCCCAGACTTTCCAAAGGTCGTGTCTCATACTCACCAATAATTTCAAGGAGTTACTGGGAAATGCAAATAGGCATTTGAAGGGTGTCGAAAAGCCTTTATCCACGTAGACTCTTAATGCTCTGATTTTCTAAGCAATTGATATTTTGCCAAATGCCTCTTTCCTCTCTGCTCTGAAATAGAGGGAATGGGCTGTTTAATCTGCTTGGTAACAGTGTTAGCAGTCAGGATTCTCTTGAGAAACAGGACTGGGATGGGGGCAAGAAGGGAAGGAGAGGCAGAGAGAGAGAGAGAGAGAGATTGATTTATTTTAAGGAATTGGCTCATGCAATTGCAATTGTGGAGACCGGCAAGTCCCAAATCCCTAGGGGTAGCCGGCAGCCTGGAAACTCAGGCAGGGTTTCTGTGCTGTGTTTTGAGGCTGAATTCCTTCTTCTTCAGGAAACCTCAACCTTTGCTCCTTTGGGTTTACGACCTTCAACTGATTAGGTGAGGCCCACCCACACTATGGAGGGCAATCTGCTTTGTTCAAAAATCTATTGATTTAAATGTTAATCTCATCTAAAAAATACCTTCCTAGAAACATCCAGACTAGTGTTTGAGCAAATAGCCAGGAACCACAGCCTAGCCAATTTGACACCCGAAATGAACCATCACAGCAACATTTTTGGGTTTCTTACAAAACTTGAAGTGAAGGGGTTTCTCCAGTTCGACATAGGGCATGAGGCTACTTTTCAGGGTTTATACCCAACCTCTCCAGTCAGAGGCCTGGCAGAGATGGGAATGGCTGCCCCCGCCAGAGGGCCCAGTTTTCTTCCGAGTGGATTGGGGTGCATGCGCCCCGGCTGGGCGGGCCGAGGAGGGAGGCAGCGTGGTGCTGGCGGCCCTGACCTGCTGGGAGTGCAGGTCACTAAGACACTTGGTGTTTGCGAGCTAAACGAGCTGCAGCTGCGAGTGTGCTGGGGAGAACAACATCTTACTCACATACTGACTCAGAGCACGCCGTCCCCAGCGCTCTGCTCTGGATGTCGTAACACGCGGTGTTATTGCCCCCAGCAGCGATCCAAAGCGAAATCTTTCTGTCGGGAACTTCCTCAGTACTTCATGACCCGTCTCCTGAGAGTTCTGTTTCCCTCAGTGAAGCCCCACAAAGAACCAAATATTACGAGACTAGAAAACAGCTTCGTTTTCCCCTCCCCTTCTCCTCTGATTTCCTTTCTTCACCATATGAAACTTTTCCTTATATTTCGCTGATTTATTTTTAAAACTTTAAATTGAATTTCATTATTTAAAGATAAATATTGCTCTTTAATAATACTAAGTAGAGTTTTCAACATGTGAGGGGAAGCTTAATAGAAAATATACTGCCTCGTGTTTTTCTTTCCATAATGGGAGAGGTAGCCAAGGAAAGTAGAAAGAACCTGTCTCTAAGATCCCCACTTACTAAGACTGTATGAACTTTATAGGGCATCCCTGGGCCTCAGTTTCCTTCTCTGTTGGAAAAGAGAGGGGAGTTATGCGTGAGGGCGTTCAATGAGAGGCAGGTAGCACATTTCCTGGCATGAGGTAGTAAAAGCCATTCATTCTCCTTTCTTTCCACCCATGGAGACTCCAACAGCGTCCTGAAGCCACAAAGGGGTGAAATAGCTCTTGTTTAAGTTTCACTTTCCCCTCTCTCTGTTCTCTGCTAAAACTTCATTCGTGTCCGCTTGGAGCATTTAACTTGGTAACCGCCTATGGTCCAGCAGTAGCCCCTAGGTAGCCTTGAACAGTCTGAAGACATGTGTCTTCCGCTCCATAAATGAACGTGATCCCTTCGTGGATTAGGCAGTCTCCGGGTAGAGCCCTGGAGTTCTGTACGGGCTCTCTGCTTGAACTTGGGAGATGAAACTGCCTTCAGAGAGGATGCTTCCTCAGATTGTTAGGTGACTGTATAAAATAAAAAAGGCATCTTAACATCTGGCAAGAAGTTGCATTTTAAGAGGTGAACATGACAAGTCTGTGAATGGGAAATTTCTCGTCTTAATCTTTTGGAGCACGTAATTGCTTTACCACCAGTTTGCATGAGAGAAGAATCTCACGAGAACAGGTGAAATTGGGTGTCTAGCTAAGGAGCAGCAAGCCTGATCATCTTTAAAGGGAGCAAACGGATCTCATTTCATAAAATGGCAGCAGATTGAAATCATGTCAGGTTGATAATTAGTTCCCATCTGACAAAATGCCATTTTGATTACTGCAGATCAGATTTGCCAGGTGCCTTCTTTTGAAACCTCATTTTTAGCTTATCGGGCTAGGGATTTCTGATGGGATTTTAATATTAAATAATAAAATGTCAGCACTGAGTAATCACTGAAATGTTATCTTCCAGTGACGGTGCTAAGTGATAGGCCACTCATTCTCTAAAAAATTACAAATTAAAATCTCCTGAAGACTGGAGAAAGTGAGAACTTGGAGCTGCCACAAACACTGTCAGGCAGAACGTGCCCTTGCCTTTGTAGGTGGGCGCCACGGTTTTTCACGCGTTCTCAATATGGTGGCGGCGTCTGGAGATGGCTGGTTGGAGAATAAATGCTGTAGATGGCTGGTATTGGAAGGAGTCTCTGGTGGGAAGGGAGATGGTTTGCTCGAGTTCATTGGTCTTGGCACCTGCCTAATGCACTTGAGTTATTTACTTTAAACTTGCTCGTTGAATTGAATTAACTCTGCCATTACAGCATGTCCCTTAAATGTTACTATTTAAGGTACAGGGCATTAGAAGATTTTTACACAGAAAAACATGTATCAGTTTTTATTTTTATAAATAATGTCTTAGATGCTTGTCAATTCAGTGGCAGCTGAGATCTCAAGACTACACATGGGACAGTTGCCAAGCAAGTTCCTCTGCCAATTCTTCTCCACCAAGTGGCTGGTAACTCCATTAGGTCATCCAGACATATACTAGACTGTAAAATGAAAGAAGTGTAGACTTTTTCCAAGTGAGATTTTTTTTTGAAAGGAAATTATTTTTATAGGAATTTTGTATACTATTTATTTTTCTATTTTCTACACACGCCTTGCATGTGAGCTGCATTTCTGGTCTGTACGGCCCAAAATACACAGCTGGCATTTCTTCCTTCTGTTAATCTCAGACCAGGCAATATCAGTACTCTGACAGTATCTGCTTTAAAAAGAAGCAAAGATAAGACTTAATGGTCAAGATTTTAAGAGCAATTGAACAGCAATAATGAAATTAAGTTCACCTACAAAGTTATGAAACCATTTAGCTCACTAATGAATGCCTAAATGCATGTAGATTCTTGGATAAGTACAGTGGACAACTTTCATCTTTTATTAACCAGAAAATTTTATCTGGCTCACCAGGATGAAGACGTTCTTGTGTTTAACATGCTCTAGGAGGTTTCTGATCTGCATATCACGTTATTTTTGAGAGTTGTAGATTGAATTGAATGTATTATCTCCTTTCCCCAGGTCCTAATCCTGTTATCATATCCTTCCTTTTTTCATATTCTAAAATATGACACCTGTCCTCACTGTCTGGATCCCAAATGGAATCCTGTTTACGTGACTGCATCTGTACATTTCTTTTCTTCTCCACATTACCCAGATTAAAGCCTTAGGAATCCCTGGACTCCATTCTCACCTTCGTTCCCTCCGTTCAACTGACAACTGAACTCTGGTGATTCTACTCCTAAAATAAATGTTCAATCCATCCTTTCACCATACAAATTCAAGTCCCTACTTCCACTTGCTAGATCTCCTGTCTTTTAGACTCCTC